TTAATGAAATTCACATTTCTCGCTCGTGTTGCCATGCTCAACATTTTTATGAATGTATAAGTGCAGATTACAGACCTTGTTACTGAAAATCTGTCTAGCCGGTAGCCTCAAGACCTGACCATACTGCGTGATTGCGTGACATGTCGTCAGTCCATGAGATAAGACGGTCCAGTCTGATACGAGCTGGCGCTTTGTCTGTTTGAGGCGATTAACAACTGTAGCAGAGAGACGTGTTTGTCTACCAAAGTTTTCTTTTCACAAAAAGAGCGAGGTTTTGGTAAAATTTATGTGACAGAGTGCTGACGTCAGGACTCTACTCGTAAATCCACCTTTTTTATTTTATCCTTGATAGGCTCTGTAGCAGGTGGGTCAACTCGTGTATGCAAAGCAGATGAATAACGCTTGAAAGAAGGCTTGAGGTTACGGTTCCTTATCCTTCCTCGTGTCTTCTTTTTGCGGAAGATGTGACCTATGTATGTATAAAGATGTTGCATGAAAAGACTGCTTCTCACATTCAATTTCTTCTAAATTTATGATACGCACGCGACCCATCGAACAACTATGCCTAAATGACTTGCAGAAACCTGGTGCGTGCTGCCAGTAAACATTTCTTGCGAATTCATTTCTTCAACTGTCCGGCACCTTGCCGAGTGCATGTGTTGCCGTAAAACACGCGAGTCCGGACCCGGAGAAGGATACAGCAACGGATGCGGAGAGGGATGCAGCCTCGGGCAAGGATACACCAGCGTTATCTGCGGAAGGAAGCTTGAGAAGATAGCCGCTTTGTTGTTGGTTTGACACATAGCAGAAACGGTCGAATGTGGCTTGGTCTAACGTTGTTACGTGTGTGTTGGGGTGATCTCGAATGTTTTTTTTTCTACAGAGTTATTGTTTGAGGCAGGCTGGGGGAAAGCGCGGGATAAGATAAGTGAGGTAAGGGATAAGATAAATTAGATAAAACCAATGTTTTGTGCAGATAGTTTTTCGATATGGCAAAGCCAAACCAAAACAGAGCTGTTACGCAACTTCTGGTCCTGACTTTCGATGAGTACATTTCATATAGATTAGATAATGACATAGGGAGACACAATCACCGTTCACAGAGTTTCTTTTAGGTTATTGTCGCTGACCGCATGGTAGATCCGTGAACACTGCAAACAGCCACCGTCAGCAAGATTTCTCACCGTCAGCTAGCTCATAACTGATGACGCGGGCGTTATGGCAGCTATAAACATATAAAAACGGCTTAACCTACGGTTTTAGCACAGCATCATAACCTTTTTGTCCATCGTACCCAACCTTAGAAATTATAAAAACTAGCACACCACTTACCGTTTCCTGCTTTGTAGTTGATGGCTCCCCCATCCGCTCACTAGGGGAAGTTGGGGCAATGCCGGAGTTTGGGCAAAGCCGAAATTCGAGATATTTCGGAAACCGTAAGACATGGATGCCACCTGTCAGTGATGCTCTGAAGCTTAAGTGACTACAATTATCGCATGTTTGTTACGAGTCGTCATTCGGAATACTTCGGCTGTGAGGGCGCCAAGAGCGTTTTCAAGGTACGCGTTCCTTGTACTACATGCGCCTTTGAAGCTGCATTTCTTACTCATTATGCTACCGTTTGTCTGGCCAATTCGGTCAAGTAATCTTCAGCATGTCTTTGCATAAGTGTGCTGCCTATTTGAAATTTATACGGCACGTTGAAAAGTTATGGGCCTGCAAATGAAAGTATGGCTGGCTGGGGTAATGCCGAAAACGTGCAATTACGCACGTTAAAGCACGCTACGTGGACTTAACTGCTGTAGAATAGCAACGCGAATTTTTAGTCACACAAATTACACTTTCAACCGACACAACGGCCTGTTACCTATAAGGAATTATTTACCTGGCATTTTCTTATTATATCACACAATTATAACTTCCAGTGTGCACCAAGCGTCCCCAAGCTCTTAAAACGCGTGTCAGCTTTGATAAATTCTGGATAAAGTTTGAGATAAAGTGGCAAAACATCAATGTCGGCATTCCCTGTAGATCATTTCTCCCATTTTCGGCTTTCCCCGCAGTCCGGGGCAACGCCGAAAAAGTCACTTCTTTGATATTTTTAGTTTGTGCGCTTATCGGTATGCGAATTCATAAAATGCGCCTGGTATGTTTGAAAGGCAAAAGACTGGCCTCTCGAATGACGCCAACAAGAATAGCTTATGTTGTCTACCTTGCGTGCTAGGGGCGTCAGAAAAAAAGTATTCGGCGTTCCCCCAACTTCCCCTACTGCTATAAACCACGCTCAATCATTCCATCATCCATCACACAACTACCATTACCGCACCAGCGTCCAAAGCTACCTTACTTTTAAGACATTCGTCGTGACAGATTGCACACGATGGACCCGTGAAGCTGTCACGAGGATTCAGACCATCGATCCGTGCCATCTCACGTCTGAGTCGCTGGTGACCGCACAGCGCGACTTATCACATCAGCCGGAAATCATGACTGGTCAGCATCCACCCCTCGGCTGCCGAAATCACCGCGGATCGCGCGGTGGGCCGGTTTTTCGTGTCGGTCCGGCTACTTTGCAGCCCAGACGTCGGCCGGAAACCCAGCTGAGAGTCGAGAGCTGCCCAGATGAGCGGCGATCGCTCTCCTGATTGACGGCCATCTCTGGCAGGCGGCCAGTCGTGTTCGTGGGCCCGTTACGCCACCGTGTCCACTGGCCAATTGCGCATCAGGCATTGAAAGCCTCGCTGAACCTGAGCGCTGAGTCAGCCAGCCGGCCGCGGACCGGGGCTGCAAGTGCTACTCACCCATGCTGAGTTGTAGTTTCCGGTGCCGCGGGCACTCAACCGTTTCAAAACAGCGACGAGATGGTTTTGTGTGTGAGGTGTTTCTTTTTTTAGGTAAGTTGGCTCCACCATTTCAGCTCTCATTAACGGAAATATTGAGAAAGCCAGAGAGTGCTGCCCTTCAGCGCGCACGAGCATTGTGGATTGATTCTCCTGTGCTCAGACGTTAGCAGACGCATTTATCGCAGTTAAGACGGGCACGTGCGGGCCAACGTGAGCCGTGCCGTGTCCGGTAAGAGGGTTAGACGGGGGCGGGGCTAGTTTCTGTGCGGCAGAGGCTTACCGATGATTTCAGAATCACATGGATCCCTTTGGCTTTGTCTGCTTTCGTGAATGGTAAGAAGGCTATTCAAGACCGGAAGATGCCACACGGTATGAAAAAGGAGTGGCCTCTCAAAAGCTAAATGATGCTGCGATTTTTGCTGCAAATGTGCTTTGAGCCGACAAAAAATAAACCACATCAGCATTTCTTGCTTATGTCCATTATTCGGTTAAGCCCCCGAGCACGTGGCGTTTCATCATCCTATTTAGATATACGATGTAGCGTGCGGCAGAGGTATACACATTGTACTTATTCAGTCTGCCGATCAAGTGTAAAGAACTCAACTAAACGCTATTCTAGCTCATTTAGTAACAATGAATGTAGAAAATGCATGCAGATGTGCTGAAATACAGAAATGAAATAATTTCGACCAATCTCCAGTGTTTTGAATATTCACTGCCTAAAGCAATACACTGCCAATTTTAACATGGTTTATATGTCTCCAAGATCGCTTAAGAACAGATACTCCTATCGCATTGTTGACATACCTGTGTGTGTATGTAGGTGAGTAAAAACTTCAGATAAGTTTGTCAAGCCAGAGCGGTAACCTGCACTGAAACGACTGCAGCTGTTAGGTCTCATCGTCTTTTTCGAGGTATCAGTCCCACACCCTGACGATGCGGCAACATCAAGCCCAGTGCGCTCCCACACTCAGAGACATGTGAGCTTCAAACAGCTGTCCGGTGTGTTGTCAAGAGCTCACTGCCGAAACAGAAAATAATTTGTTTGATCGGCCAAATCGAGCATGAATCACTGCAATGTAGGGAAGAATCGACATACATCGGCACGCTTTCAAAAATAAACAGTGTGAAGATCAAACCATAGCATTGGAGTAGCGGCTTAAAAGCTCACGATGCATGTACTAGTATGTAGATCACTTTCGTCACAGGACTATATCTGACAGAGCAAACCATCGACCATAGAATAAAATCAAATCAATAAGTAAGACGTATTCCCACTTTGTTGCTATCTGCACACTGTAAAAAAAGTTTAGCACCATAGAGGTACTTTTCAATTGACTAATTTTCAGTACCCTAGCGGTGCTAAGCTAAGCATTTTATTCGTACTTAACTGAGATCTAGTTTAGTATCAAGGTGCTAATATAAGTACCCATATTTGTTTAGCACCCGTGTACTAAATGTAGTACCCTACACCTGCTAGACCAATTTTTAGTACCCTAGCGGTGCTAAACTTTAAAAGGTGCTAAGAATAGCATGCAGCAAGTACCTTCCGTACTCACATATGAACCGTTTTAGCGCTATTGTTACCCCACGACAAGTAGAATAATGCTAACGAAAGCATTGGGGCTGAAAGTAGAATATCTAGGTTGCAGGTAGCATCCGGCAAATGAAGAAATGGCAAGAAGTTTTAAATTGACTGGACCTGTTTATCGTATGGCCGATGGCAGCACGTTTGTTAATTGATCGAACTTGTCTGCAATAAATCACTAAGCAATGCTTTATTATGTCATTTTTTATCATAACCATGCAACCGTTCATTAAAGCGCTATTTAAATATTGCCAATCCAAGAGCGTACAGTGCCAGGATTAATCCTTCAACTGTCGTGCATTACATTTTTTTCTCATCGCCGGTGCACTCTCCACTCGCTCGGGGCGATCTGAATGAAGCAGTATGAGCCAGTTATCACATGGTCGGGAGATTCCGCGCCGTGTGTTATCTGGGCGACTCTGGCGGCGGCGGGGGCGGGGGCGGGGGCGGCCGCCGCCGGCGTCGCCGGGACCTTCAGACAGCGGAGACGGGGCGGCGCCAGGCGCGCTCCCTTTATAAGCAGTTCGTCTCGGCGGCACCGGCTTAGTTTGCTCCCAGAGAACCGCGAGGTAGCACGACAGGTTTGGTACGAAACGAATCCACACCTGCGCTGAGAGAGTGAAAGATACTATCTGAGAAGAAAAGAAGAATTATAGCAGCAGAGTTCGAGAGAAGTTCGACAGTGGCTCAGCCAAGGCGAAGAATTGATCGGAAGCACCGCCGTCCCTGTCGTGACCGGAGAGCCAGTGAGACGCGTCACGAGACTGGGTCACGCGGAGGGCCTGCGGGCCACAGCAGCAGGGCGCCGGACGCCGCACCAGGTCAGGCGGCAGCACAAGTCTCCTCACCACCAGCCAAGATGACTATGAACCTATCTGAGCTGCGTGAGTCGATGGCAGTGGCCGAGCAGCTGGCCAAACAGTCCATCATCCGCCGCCAGCACCCGGACGAGCTGCTCGGCACCGACGACAAGGGCGGCTACATCCCGCCCAAACAGCTGCTGCTCTACATCGTCAGGTGAGCACGTGGTGGCGAGCCGCACGGCCCCATTGTGCCCCGCAGTGCCGCGACGCGCCGCCGCGCCGCGTTGCAGCGTCCTTGCTTTTCACTTCCGGGTGACTGGAGCCACCCAATGGTCCGGCCGTGTTCCGTGTTGTGACCCGTTGTTCAATCAGTGCTCCATTGTGACTGAAGTTATCCACTGTTCCTTGTTGTTCCTGTGCCATTCATTGCTCAGTCCGTGTTGTGACTGTAGCCATCCACTGTCACTGAAGTCCGCGTTCCGTGTTGTGACTGATGGGGTCGTATTTAAGGTCAACAAGCGGAACAGTTGCAAAAGCTGCCGGGTTCATTCCTATGTTCATATTAAGATGAGAATGAATATTGAGTGACGTCAGGCGTGAGTGATATATGGAATGTCCGGCAGTCCTTCCGCAAGCGTCCTTTCTGTCCATTAGCATAAAGTTAGAACGTCACACACTCCACTATTGCATCTGCTGCATTGTGTTTTGAACGGAGCCACCCATTGCTTACACATATCGACTTACCGGCAAAGATTATGACCAGTTGTCAAATACTCATCCAAACCCAGGCAATAGCGAGAGAAAAAAATAATAACAGCACTGTTACTTTCTTGTAGGTGGTTAACTTATACTCAGAGGAATGAGCCATAACAAACTCAAAGAGTGAACCCAGTCTCTTCACTCGTGGTGTCTGACGCCATAGGTCCGCAAAATAACGTCAAACTAACGCGCCTGAGTTCACCGGGTCCACACTGTTATCTCTAAACATGGCCAGCGTGATCGGTCAGCTGTACCGAGGTCCGAGTCCAGACCTGATCTCAGCTCACTGATCAGACACTGGCGTCGGCTCTGATGTCAGTGGGTCCAGGTGTCAGTGTCGGTTTTAGTGTCAATCTTGTCAGTGTCAGCAGAAGTCAATCGACCACTGTCAGTCAGTCGATTAGTCGTTGGCAAATTATATGTCGTTCAGATCGGTCAACATCAGTAAATCAATCAGTGTCAGTCGGTCGGTGTCAATATATATGCGTCCATCAGTCCGTGCGGTTGCTCGGTAGCGCTCAAAACCCATGACAATCGGCTGATACGATCAGTTGTGTCAGTCTTTCGATGTCACTTTGGGTTCTTCTGATGTCCTCCGAGTCAATGTCCGAGAGCCTTTTTATAGCTCTCTCCTTATGTCAGTGTGACACAGCCGATGCCATTACGAGGATCGGAGCCGGCGGATTTTGCCGGTGCGTTCGACCTCGATTAAATGCGTCCGTCGTAGACTATAGAGGCTTAAACAGACTCTTTCCGCAGCCCGGAAAACGTATGCGAGAGCCTATTCAAATAGTGGTCTACAGCTATGCACGATTACATAATGCATACCACATAAGACGGAATACCTAAAAGATAGAATATGAAAGGTAACTCCTAAAGGATTCGAGAATAAGTAGCCTTTATAAAAAACGTTTATGTTATTTCCTGCAAGAACCACAACGACGCTGCCTACCGAAGCGAAGCAGAACAATCAATAATTAGTAAGATAAATATATTTGGTGTGCAATTTTAATGATTGGATTACTATTTAAATCAGCATCCATATTGTTATAGATAAGTAATTAACAGACCGCAAAGTCAAAGAGCAAATATATATAAATTCAATGTAGCCGCCCGTTTCAACTTTTTATATTGGAAGCGGATTTGCCTTATGCTATTCTGGCCTCATTTGACTTGTTTTGTGAGTGACGCGGACGCTCCATTTTGACACTGCTCTCCTATATTTGCCGGAAATGGGATAAGCCGCGGCTGTTTTATCGATTTTTCGGTAGTTGCCGTTCACTTTATAGGCCTCCTCTCGCCCTAACCTTGTTCCTCGCTCCCGTCTAACCGGCGTTCCGCCGCCTCTCCTCACACCAGTCTCCGGGCTGTGGTGACGGTCCGACGTCCTTCACTGGGGAGCGGCCCGGAACTATTGCCCGGATGACGGCAATAATTCCGTAATGGCGGCGACAACGACAGCCAAATCACCCTAATGGCGTGCACTTACTCATGCCATTTCCCAAGCTTCCTGAAAGCTGTCGCCTGAAGCCATGCCCGTAATCGGTGAATGTCGGCACTAGAAAAAAAAAACGAACCGGAGAAGTTGATGATAATTGATGGCGAACAGCTATTCCAACCAATGTTTTCCTTTAACCCGGCAGTTGCTGGGGTATTTCGCCACCCACCGTTTGCTGGGGGGGGGGGGGCGTTAAACGCCCCCAGCCGATAACTCGAGAACCAATAGGCGCAGCGAAACGCACGAGGCGGCAAACAAAAGAGCGCGACGAGACGCTTCAGATGAGTACTTTAAAGTTGAATTTTGAGGTCACAGGTCGGGTCAAGGTCAGGTCAAACACCTGAAATCGGGCTTTCAGTAGCATGGACTTCAGGACTTCGCAATGGGCGCTTCTCGCCATAAACTCTGTCAAAACGGTGCACAATCCATCTTATAAGGCCTACAAGAGTGTCAGCTGCATGTAGAGGTCAGTCAAGCATAGGTCAGGGTCAAGGTCAGGTCAACCAGGTAGGCACATATCCCCGAAAATCAAAACTGATATTCGCAGCCTGTGACACATGTTTTATAGGTAATTTGGGGCGTAGAACACGATGGTGACATTCATTTCATCATATGTGTACGTGTTTGGCTCAAGAAGTTCAATTTAAGAAATGCATGTATCATGGTCGTGAAGTAGTCACGAAAAATTGCCAAGATTCAGTTCAAGATTATGGAAAATGCGGAACGATAATCAATAATCGAAGATAGCCATTTGATTGATCATGGTATTGGCAGTCTAATGGCGTTTACGGCATGTCTGTATGTCTATTCTGTGATTTTATATGATTTTTTGAACATATGCCAATTTTGGTCGAAAACTCAGAAATCATGACGTCACTAAAACCTCGATATCTCAAAAATTTTCCGACCGATTTTTTTGAAACTTTGTCACAATAAACCTCAATCAATTCCCTACAGGGACTTAAAATTTGGCGCGCCTGCGGCGCGCCGTTTTTATGCTATGGCCCGGCGAAAAAAGTGGGAGCGTTTAACGCCCCCCCCCCCCAGCAACTCGCGGGTTATAGGGACCCTCCCACCTTAACATTAGATTTGAGTTGAGATAGCCAAAATGGGGTCCCTGGCTCACAATTACCGGTTTCGGCACTCATAACATCGAGAAATGCCTTAAATTGGAAATATTGAATCTCAAAATTGCAGCATTTTGATTCAGAGGGGCTAATACATAGGAATACCCCTCTGAATGTGTGACGTCAGCGCAGATATCTAACGATTTTTAAATGTTTGACTAAAACGTTTTGTAGCACGCGGTGGTATATGCTGCTTTGCGCGCAACAAGTGCCGCACTTTTAGCTGCCAAACTATTGCTTCCAAATAAAGTCGCTAGGAACAGCGGAGATCCCAAAAAGTAAACAAAAGTAAAAGTCTAATATCTTGAAAACCGGTGTATATTTTTCGGTGAAATTTGGTAGATATTCGTTTTCGCTCTTTCTGAACCGAGCGACATCACTTTCATGCCAATTCATAAACTTTTTTGAAGGTGGGAGGGTCCCTTTAATTCCATTTCAAGCATTTAAGTTTTCTCAACCGATTGCTGAAAGACACCAAAGGCATTCAATGTACAGGGTGTCCGGAAAGTCCTGGCGCTTTCCAACATTTTTGAAAACAAATGCCTCTGGTTGATAGATACTCAACAAAAGATCAAAACAATTATCAGGGACACCAAGCCATATACTTCCGCTAAGTGCTCATTCAATATAACCATCGTCGGCACCGACGACAGCCTCGACGCAAGGGCGGAAGCACCTGCGTGTTTTGACGATGTATGACATTTCCAAGTCCTCCCATGCTGCCATGTAGCGAGTATTCAGCGACTCCAGGTTGGGATGACAGGTGGCCCAGAGCTTATTCTAAAAAACGCGGGCACGCCTTAGTCAAGCGGGTTAAGGTTAGGCGAATGAGGCGGCCTAATCTCATTTCGCCAAAGTGATCTGGCCCGCCGAGCTCCTCCGTCAGTAGGTATGGCTTGGGCGATAGCGGCATTGTTGGAGGGCGCTGCGTGCTGTCGAAAAGTGAAATGCGAAGTAACCCTTAGGGCAAGTCACCTTGAACCTCGGGTTGATATGCCTGTTCAGGATTTCCTCGTGGACCAGCCTGCGTTTTCATTTATCTAACATTGACGAAGATATGGAACATTTTTGTCCATCACACCTCTGGATTTTCTTCGATTGCCGCGGAAATGCTGCTAAATTCTCGGCAGTTTTAACATAGCGCGGTCGTACCGGTCTGGGGGATATTTCTAAAGGAATTCTGGAGTCAGAATAAGCCTTCACCTGCTCAACCATGCGCCAAAAACCGCCGCATCGCGTTGTAACTCGCACCTCGTTCAAGCCCCACCCGGCCGCCGCGCGCAGGCATTCCGCGACAAGGCGCATCTTCGCCCATCCACCCATCACTAAAAACGATTTCAAGGTCATATTAACACGACCCCTGGCTAAGTGGCCAACAAGGGGTAATGTCTGTGGTGATTAGTTGAATGTCCAATAATCACAGCACGCATTAGACGGCGTCCAATAGAAGCGCCAGGACTTTCCGGACACCCTGTATTCCAATTATCAGCAGATTTTGCACTTGTATCTTTCCTAGAAAAATGTAAATTACCAAACAAGGATATATTGATATTAAAGTGACCATCCCCTCCTTGGCCGAGTGGATAAAGCGCCGGAATTCGACGCTTAGCCGGTAAGTGAGAGCCCGGTACAAGCCTCGGTGCGGGCGGCCACATTTAGCTCCTACGTGTAATAGCGTGCGTGTCTGTGGCAGGGGCCTCACAGAAGCCAGGTAACGTGAGTGAGCGGAGGGGGCCGTGTCCAGTCGTGAGGGCACGTTAAACGTTCGGACAAAATTATGCCATACAACTGGAATTGCGCGATCGGGTGGTGGGGTCAGGGTCAGCACAAGAAGCTATGCTTAGTGCGGGCTCTGATTCCTCAAATCCGCCCATTCAACCATTCGGACTAAATTTATAAAAAAAAATCCCACCTTAACATTTTTAAATAAATTTAGTCCGAATCTTTTGATAGGAAGGATTCACAAGGACAGAGCCACCGCTAAGCGAAGCTTGTTGCGGTGACCCTGCCCTCTACCCTCCGATCGTGCAGTTCCAGTTCAATGGCAGAATTTAGAGTCCAAAGTTTAACGTGCGCGCATAGCCGCGCACGGCCGGTCCCCTCACTGACTTCGCCTGGCTACGGCCTGCCACCAACCGCAACCATACCTGTCAGGAAGCCGATACATGTCAAGCGCCCTTCGCGCTTCGAACCCGGATTGTTGCACCGGGAACGCGTGCTCTCACCATGCGGAGTCCAACGCTCTACCAACTGAGCTACAGGACCAGCAATTTATTTATTGCCAGTCAATATTTCTGAGTTGAAATAGCCAAATTGGGTTCCCTGGCTTGCAATTACCAGTTTGGGCACTCACAACAACGAGAAATGCTTTAACTCGGAGATTTTAGCGATTTTAGCGTTGTGAGGAAAATCATCATGATGATTGAGCATATTTGATTGACCGAGTCCTCAATATATGTAATCTGAATAAAATGACAAAATATAAAAAAAAAATCGGGTATATTCGATCATAGATTCGCCCCCCTCCCCCTTTAGTTGACAAAGACCTGTGATCGAATATACCCGAATTTTTTGCTATTTTGTCATTTTATTCAGAATATATTGAGGATTCGGTTAATTAAATGTGCTCTTAATTCGGAGACAAGTTCAAAGTCTGCAGTTTTCGAATTGTAAAGGGCTAATGAATTTGAATGTCCCCTAGCCCTTAGGCATTGCGACCTCGGTGCAGATCGGGCGATTTTTAAATCGTATACTAAAACCTTCGTAAAAGACAATTGTTGATATGATGGTAGGTATATGCTGCCTTGCGCGCAACATCTGTCGCACTTCAAATTTGGTAACAAAATTATTGCTTGCAAAAGACGTCATAGGTAGAGCGGAAGCTAAAAAGTGTAATATTTCCAAAATTGAAACATTTTTAAGATTCAATTTGATTTAAATTTAATGCAACCAGAGTTTCTTGCCTTTGATTCAAAACATAAAATCGCATGTGATACGAAGAACTCAGCCGGAAACTGATTGCAAAATGTATGCGGATTAACTGCGATACATCTTATTGCCTACCCCGATAATATGACCAAACTCCTTCGGTATTCGCACTTGTCAGATGATGAAACGCAGCCACCTGCTTTTCTAAGAAATGTTTATATTCCTCACGGCACGGAGATTTAAAATCATGCTCAACCTCCCATCAAGCTGTAAAAGGCTGGATTTTGATAAAAACAAGTGCTGTTGCGTGTTTGATTTGCGCCTCTAATCCTGTTATGGCTGACATGTGCGGCGGAATCCCTGACAGGCAGTGGAGCTCATCAGCAGCGCGTGATGTGAATGGATGCTTGCTCCCTAAATCCCGGCTCAGGTCAACCGTTTAGGTATGTTTGGCAAGGCATTAAAAAAAAACACACACACACACACGCGCGCACTCATGCTTGCACTGACAACTGATGAATATGGGCGTGCGAGCAGATGTGGATCGCGTGTAAATTGTGTCGAGTGTGTAAACAAATATGCATCTTTCCATTTGCTAGATGTTGTTTAAACAACAGTCACTGTATGGATCCGCTCAGCTCTGGTTCCAGTTGCAATGTAAACAACGATTACTCATGCATGTCGCTTTTTTCTGTAACATATAACAATGACACTTCAATGATGGTGTCTGGGGCATTAGCCTATACCTGTATAAACGACTGAAAAGGCTACACAAATATAAGACGATATAATTTTCTGAAGCTGCAGCACGTGCTCATTTTTATGTCGTGTGGGCGTTCTTCATTTTAAATGCAAATAGCGATGCTATTCAAAATAAACAGTCTAGTCACATCCGACTTTTTCAGTCGTCGATGATCCGATAAGCCTCTGTTTGACACAGCACCCATTCAGTCAGGGACAATATCAGTGTTGACCTGCCCGTCGCCACAGTGCTGCGCACTGCTGCGAGCCTGTATTATTCGCTGCAGCTGCAGACCCTGCCGTGAGGCTCGGACATTGAACACGGCCCACGTGCAGCCCGAAGCGAGAGGTCATGACCGAGATGGATATCTCCGGCGGCGGGCAGAGTCGGGTCGCCCAAGCGCCGGCCCATCAGTTCAGTGATAACACTCAGGTCGGGTCAGCCGGGGGCCGACCTGGGGTCAACCTGGGTCACCCCTTGGCGCCCCACTGTCGGGCGGCGCTCGGCTCGCAGTCGCCGCAGGCTATAAGTGGGACAGGCTGTGCTGTGCAGGCATTCCTCGTTGGTAATCGCTCGCACTCACGGCTGCAGTATCGGTCTATGGATGTGCAGCGCTGCACTATAGCTCCGCGGTGCTAGTTATCTGTGTCGCGTTAAAGGCCCCGGGCGCTGCGGCTCACTGCGCTCAGCCATGGATTTAGAGTTCTGGGAAGAGGTACAGAGAAGGACTGTGGCGAGACGAAAACTGTCACAGTGCCTGACGAGGTGAGAGGTAACATAAAACGCCTTTCTGTTGAGAGACATGAATGGCTGCCTTTCTGTTGAGTCCTCCCTTGCAATCATCAGGATCATCCCGTCCCATCGTCCCTCGAGTTTCCATTCTTCCTACTCTGTGCTTGACTTTCAATCCTAGACTTATATACGCGTGTCATCCGTCATGCGAACAAAGCTTCTGAATATCCAAAGCTCAGCTATCTTCTGTGGGAAATTCATGTATTTTCCCTGCATCGAACGTCCATGTTTGGGGCTGTCTCAGAGCCAGCGGCTGTGTCGGTCTGGCGACCAACGCTGACCAGCATCATATTGAATAAAAACACAATTATAATATCATAATAAAGCGCTGCTCCTTCCAGAAGGAGCAGCGCTAAACCGATGCCGTATATCTTTCACCACGATCTGACGCCTGTTCTGCCCTCTCTCCCTCAGGATGGGCAGCTTCACGTCGGCGCCCAAGATCCTGAACCCGGACAGTGCCGATGACGCGCTGACGTTTCCGGAGGAGTCGATGACGCCGTCGGAGATGGAGTCGTACTGCCGCCAGCAGCTGAGCGAGCTGCCGCCGCTGCTGACACGCGAGTTTACCGTCATCGAGCAGCCGGCAGACGCCGACAACCAGTTCAGGATCATGCAGTGGAACACGCTGTCACAGAGTGAGTGGGGCGGGATGTGGGAGGGGGATGACGACTGAATAAGAGCGTCACTTAGGTATTTGTTAAATTGAAAGACTCTTATCTTATGCCATCGAACTGAAGTTACAAAATAATGCTTGAGTAACGGAACATAGTTAACGCTTAACTATATAACGAACGTATATCGCTTTCATAGCATAGAAATCAAACGTAATTCTCATGTACATTTTCCCTCCATTGCATACATTCATTCTAAAGCCCAAAGTGACATGTATTTTAGCTGATCATTTAAATCTAACCGTCGTATTTTCTCGACAGCGCTGGGCGTGCACAACGACAACTTCACCGAGTGTCCTGCATCGGCTCTGGAGTGGGAGACGCGCCGCTACCGTCTCATTGAGGAGATCAGCCACTACGCCCCGGACGTGCTCTGCCTGCAGGTACGCCGCCCGGTCCGTACCCGAATACGGCGCCGCCACGCCCGCCGCCGAGCGGGGCGGGAAGGTGTAGTGGTCGCCCACTAGAGGCAGTATATGATGGGCCATATGTGCGGGCATGACCAAATACGGAAAGGAATGAAGGAAATGAGCTGGGGCAAGGGGGTAGTAATTGGGGGCTTAAAATAGAATGCGAATGCCATGTCTGTAAAAGGTTACGTTACATCTCAACGTTCCTAAGTGATGCACATTTTACACACGGCAGGAAGTTTTTTATTATATTTAGGTTTGTGGCCTATTTTTGAGTTCGAGAATAAGTATACGGTCTATACGCAATGCCGAAACAATGTGCAAGCGGTCACAACAGACACACAATGCCTGATCTTCGACACGTTTCTTCTCACTGACACCAAACGCCAACCCCCGCTCTCGCAGGAGGTGGACCACTTCAAGTTCTTCCAGAAGGCGCTGGGCACGATCGGCTACTCGGGCGTGTTTTTCGAGAAGCCCGACTCCCCGTGTATCTACATCAAGGGAAACAACGGTCCGGACGGGTGTGCGCTCTTCTTCCGGAACGAGAGGTTCGAGCTGGTGCGCACAGAGACGCGCGTCATCGAGGTCTGGAAGGTGCAGAGCAACCAGGTGAGAGAGAGAGAGAGAGAGAGAGAGAGAGAGAGAGAGAGAGAGAGAGAGAGAGGGAGAGAGAGGGAGAGAGAGAGAGAGAAAGAGAGAGAGAGAGAGAGAAAGAGAGAGAGAGAGAGAGAGAGAGAGAGAGAGAGAGAGAGAGAGAGAGAGAGAGAGAGAGAGAGAGAGAGAGAGAGAGAGAGAGAGAGAGAGAGAGAGAGAGAGAGAGAGAGAGAGAGAGAGAGAGAGAGAGAGAGAGAGAGAGAGAGAGAGAGAGAGAGAGAAAGAGACAGAGAGATGGACATAGTGATGAGATTGAGGACCCGATCTTATATGGCTTTCGTGTGCATAATTTTATGAATCGGCACGAGTATGAGGTCACTTAAATGTCGTGAGCGAAATGAATGAGCGTCATTTGGCTTCAGCGATAATTTTGCCTATTACGGTCAGAATTTAAGCATTCGGACATTCAGCTATTTGTACATCACACCTCGCGTATGTTAGGCTGCTGCGTCCACCCTACCTGACCGCCACCCGCCGTCTCTGTGCCAGGTGGTGGTGCTGGCCATTCTGCGTGACCGGCGCACGGGCCACGAGGTGTGCGCCGTCACCACGCACCTGAAGGCGCGCTCGGGCGCCCTGCTCAGCGCCATCCGCAGTGAGCAGGGCAAGGACCTGTTGTCGTTCGTCAGCAGCCACGCCGGCGACCGGCCCATCATCGTCTGCGGCGACTTCAACGCCGAGCCCAGTGAGCCCGTGTACGCCACACTGACCCAGGACGGCGCCCCGGAGCTGAGCTCGGCCTACGTGCAGGCCACCGGCGCAGAGGCTGACTACACCACCTGGAAGATCCGCGGCTCGGGCGAGGTGTGCCAGACGCTCGACTACGTCTTCCTGTCGTCGTCCCGGTTCAGCGTCGAGTCGATCCTGCCGCCGCCCACCGAGCAGCAGCTGGGAGAGGCGCGCGCGCCCAGCTTCGCCTACCCGAGCGACCACTTCTCGCTGGTGACCGATGTCAGTATTCTGCCCAGCTAGGGGCGGGAGGAGGGCCCCTCCCCGCCGGGCCGACAGCGGGGCGACAATGTCAACACATCCGGGAGACACAGCGGCATTACTGGTGATTTGTTGAGTTCTAGTGTTCGGTGCTGTTTGTTGAGTGATGAGCCTGTGCTCCACATGTGTTGCTTACAACGACGAGTTCGTCTGTCCCTTCCGTTCCTCATCTTTGCAAAATTCAAAATTGTGATGCAAAATTATCATCTTCATAAGGATTTTAAAAATAACAAAGTAATATTTCAGCGGGTTGCTCACAATAACGCCTTTGATGAAGCTGATCAAATAATCCAACTGTTCTTCATTTTCTCTCCATAACTGTATTCCGTGACGCTTTACTTCTGAGTCTTAGTAGCTCAGATCAGTCAAATAATTGTACAACGAAAGAGTTGCCGGCACAAATGACTCAGACTACAAATGCCGTGTGCCAGTCTGCGCCCGGTTTGGTACGTGCCAAGGCAATTGTTCGAGTAAGCTGTGCCTACATGCACTCGTGTGTGATGTGTAAATTATGTGCGAATGCGTTATTTATGTGAGCGTGGTAATCTTCACTTCGGCTATTCTCTTCTCTTCTCACCCTCCGGCACACTGGGACATCGATTGAAACGTTTCACCTTTCAACGACTTTCACTTTGTGAATAAAAAAATATATAATCCCTTCTCAGACCTATCCACAGCAATCAAACCTCTATCAGTTTAGGACAGCACCAGTCAAGCTGATGGTCCTTGACTGTTCGGTGATCGTCTGAATGTAGCTGCACTTGCGCCATTCGTGCGACAAAGACTAAGAAAAATGATTGATGACCGATTGCTAATCTGCACACCCTTGCGATGGTGCGCAGTTAGAACCCAGCGTCTTTGTCCTACGACCGTCACCTTCCTCCGAACAAGGAGCTGTTGTTGACGATCTGAAGACACGTGCATTGTGCACTGCACGGTGGCCCAGGTGACAGTGTAGTGACTTCCGACCCTATATTAGAGGCCGGCAGGCTCTATTGTTGGACCCGACCCACTTCCCTTCCTCCCAGTGACGTCCTTTTCACTGTCAATGCCTGTTCTCCCACTGTGCTATCCCTCCAACTGCCTTATGTCCATGTCCTGTTCCGGTATCCTGGGCGGGGCACCGAGGGCAGAGGTGATTAACCGACGAGCTGGTGCACAGTTTGCCATCTTGTATGCGAATGATGCCAGCCGGTAGCGCCATCGTGCGCTGTGTTTTCGTCGATTGTTCATACCCAGTCCTCGGGGAGATGGTCTACATTGGATATTCTCTGTTGTACTTACCTTTTTCGGTATGCATGATGTCTTGTATTTATATTGTACAATTATTTATATGCGCTGGTAATTAAGATGGATTAATATATTTATTGGTCCGAAGCTCGGCCTTTTTTAGCAACAAGGGAACAGATATACACGAATTTACACTAAACGGATATACATTTATTTGCTCCTGATGCTAATACTAAGAATGAATGGTTCAAGTAAGAACTTTGAGCGGCACGGTGGTCGGTGCTCATGGGCACCGGCAGCATCTCACCCCTCTGACTGGTGCAGTGCATTCCAGCGACCCTCTAAAAACCTGGCCAGTGGCCACGTAGCGGCAAACTTTGTATGCATGTACAGCCAAAACTGCGTGGTAGGTATTCCTTGTTTCGACAAAAACGAGAATAACGCGAATACTATGCTATTGGTCACTCGGAAATCGTAACAGCAAGACGCGTGAGACTCCGCACCTTAGGTTGGCATCATCACCGCATTTATTTTCCACCTAGTTCGGCAACAAAACCCAAAAGTTTATATTTGCCCCCAAAACAAACTTTTGCATTTTTTTTTTTTTTGCCACACAAGGCGGATAGTTTGTTTAGTGATAGACCCAATCGAAGGAGTGGAGCATGGCGCATCTATTTGAGTGAGTTCCGACCGACTGATAGCATAGCCTTTGAGTTATTACCTATCGGTTTTGTCCAAAAAAGAATATCTACCACGCAGTCTGCTGAGGGCTGTACCTACAGATAGGTACAGGTCTCGCGGGTTTTAGCGGTAGATTTTGCACCTAGAAAATTTAGTGTATTTCAGGTTATATCTTCGTCGTCTTAAAGGTAGTGTGCCAGCTTTCCTGGACCATATGGAGTTAATGGCCCAGATAAGGAGAACCGGATTTTTACAACTTATCCATACCTTCAAAACTCATGGAAACGTCTTAAATTCTTCAAATTTTGAGTACCCCAGTGCGAAATTCGCCCCGACGGGTTGTCGGTCGTACCCCAACCACATTTCACACCACTATGAACAATAAATGCACACACTGAAATCGCTATTACCGATATGCTCATCCAATCAAGTTTCTTCATCATCATCTCCTGCGGTTTCGAACACGCCTGTTGGGTGGTGCGGTAGACCGCGCCCAAAGCCAGGGCCCCGGTAACGTGAGGTAGCCGAGTCGGGGCAGCGTGCGCTGACCCAAGCCGGGGCCGCGCGTCCTCCCGGTGTCATGTGATAGCCCGGGGCTGCCCGCGGGGATGCGGTAGACCGCGCCCAAAGCTGCGGCCCCGGCTTGGGTCAGCGCACGCTGCCCCGACTCGGCTACCTCATGTTACCGGGGCCCTGGCTTTGGGCGCGGCTTCTGCTCATACTTTGTGGTGCGGTGGTGGTGCGTCGGGCCGCGCGCTCTGACTTCGGCCAAGAAAAATGCGTCAGCTGATCATTGTCATTTCTGCCACTTGCGTGTGGTGAAATGGAGTCATAACTTAAGAGACGGCTTTTTCATATCAATTATTTTACATAAAATCATATTTCAAACCATAAATAATGTTCGACAGCCAAATAAAAGAAACAATACCAATACAGGCTTACAGTTTAAGGCTCGACATTGTGTTGTCTACGATTAGACAGCTGATAACTCATTCCCGTACGTCGTAACTCTATAATGACCTTTGCTTATTGTCACATGTGCGCCGTATTCGCGATTGTTGCCGACGCCTGTTTGCAGGTGAGCCCACTACAGTTGTTATCCATATCGAAAAACCGATAAACTTATAGGCGAAAAAGGCACTATTCTAGGCCCATTTTTGATTTTTTTTTGCGATATTAGGTAAAAACAGAAGCTTCTTATCCTAGGAAAAATAAAATGGGAAATCTTTCAAAGGTGGCACACTACCTACCTTTAACATTGGTATTGGAGGCAATGTATCTTCCTCTAGATTCAGGATCTAAGAGCGAAACGAACTGTTTTACTATCAGAAAAATCACCCGCCTTCGGTATTTTTTTGTCTCAATCCTCCCACAAGTCAAGCAACCCACGTTAAAAAGGAAATGAAGCAAAAACACCAGCTAGCTTAGGTTCGCTAATAATAGCCGTTTTCACGACGGCCATCTGGTACACATTTGGTGCACATCTGGTACAGATTAGGTGCAGATTTGGTCATCAGGTTCAGTGTGTCTCTTAGCAGCTATCAGCTAGGGTTGCACTAATTGCTGATATGCCTGCTTTGTCATATTATCAGAGAGCATCATCGATTAAAACACTGAAATAAATTCAAAAAATGAAGATATTTGCTGTAAAAGAAATTAGGTGCAGATTTGGTCAAATCAGGTGCATTCGCCGGATAGCCCGTCGTGAAAACGGCTATTATGTACTTTACTTTTCAGACCAGACCAGCCGTCCTTTTTTCGTGCGGCTACTGGCTGGTCGGCGAAATTCAGGGGTACTTTACCCTTTAGAAATAAAAAACACAGCTAGCGATTTCCTGTTTGTTAACCTTCGCCCCAGTTGGGGACATATGTTACCACCCTGTCGCGTTTTTTGCGTGTAAATAAAAAACTGCGGCGCGTAGCGCCGCGCCGCGTGGAGTAGCTTTCTGTATATCAATTTTGGACAATGTGTGAAATTTCTAAACCCAGGTCATGTCAGGTCAGGTCACCAGGTCAAGTTAACTGACCAAGCCTAAAAAAGTTTGCAATCATGCCCAGCCGTTTGCCAGCCGCCAGCCAGCCGTGTTTGCTGGAGAGCTTTTAAACTTGGTGGATGGCATGATATTATGGGTTGGTTATGGGCGCCTATTGTATATCTCGGATTTTTGTATATCCGTGACCTAAGGTCAGGCCAGTGGCGTGGCATTATACATACCTACCTAAGTCAATGGAGAAAAAATGAAAATGCGTCTAGATCTGTGTGTACGCAAAGGAACAGTCCAAATGTTTCAGAATCACAATGATTTGGACCACTCGTGACGACCAAGGTGTCTTTTTTGCTGATAGCCTCTAGAAAGGTCATCCGAAGTCATTTAACCCGCGAGTTGCTGGGGGGGGGGGCGTTAAACGCCCCCACTTTTTTCTCCGGGCCATAGCATAAAAACGGCGCGCCTAAATTTTGGGTACCTGTAGGGAATTGATTGAAGCTTATTGTGACAAAGTTTCAAAAAAATCGGTCGGAAAACTTTTGAGATATCGAGGTTTTAGTGACGTCATGATTTCTGAGTTTTCTACCAAAAACGGCATATGTTCAAAAAATCATATAAAATCACAGAATAGACATACAGACATGCCGTAAACTTCATTAGACTGCCAATACCATGAACAATCAAATGGCTATCTTCGATTATTGATTATCGTTCCGCATTTTCCAAAATCTTGAACTGAATCTGGGCAATTTCTCGTGACTACTTCACGACCATGATACATGCATTTCTTAAATTGAACTTTTTTAGCCAAACACGTACACATATGATAAAATGAATGCCACCATCGTGTTCTACGCCCCAAATAACCCATAAAACATGTGTCACAGGCTGCGAATATCAGTTTTGATTTTCGGGGATATGTGCCTGCCCGGTTGACCTGACCTTGACCCTGACCTATGCTTGTCTGACCCGTACATGGAGGTGACACTCTTTTTAGGCCTTATATGATGGATTGTGCACCGTTTTGACAGAGTTTATGACGAGAGGCGCCTATTGCGAAGTCCTGAAGTCCATGCTACTGAAAGCCCGATTTCAGGTGTTTGACCTGACCTTGACCCGACCTGTGACCTCAAAATTCAACTTTAAAGTACTCATCTGAAGCGTCTCGTCGCGTTCTTTCGTTTGCCGCCTCGTGCGTGTCGCTGCGCCTATTGGTTCTCGAGTTATCGGCTGGGGGCGTTTAACGCCCCCCCCCCCCTAGCAAACGGTGGGTGGCGAAATACCCCAGCAACTGCCGGGTTAAGGCTACAAACAGCTTTTTGCCAACAACTCTCGATTGGAAAGAACTAGAACGCTGAGGATGGCTTGATTGTGTTTGTCTTGTCGAGACGCATCGAATGATATGCAACATGACCTATTTGGGTCACCAGGCGACCTTGACCTGAGGTCAAAGTTTGACCTTGACCTTTCCAGGTATCTTTTTTCAAAGCGACTGAATGAGAGAAAGACGATAGTGCTATTGCCAATTCTTCATCTCTTCTGGTTCAAAAGTTATTAGTGAGAAAAACAGCTATTTTCACAATGTTTGACCTATGGATGCTTAAAAGTTGACCTGAGGTCAATTTTGATAACGACCTTATCAAAAGAAGAGTTCAAAAGCTATCTATTGCTTTTCCATGCAGTTTTCTAGCTATCATAGTTCCTGAGATAACGGCATGTTTTCTGAAAAATATAATGACATTTGGCAAATTTTGACCTTTGCTAACCTCTGGTGTCCCCAATATTGCTCTAAGATTAAAAATGACCGAAATACATTCAAACGTAGGCATTGAGAGCTATCAACTGCCTTTTACCGCGTCTTTCTAGCCCTCTTAGTTTTTGAATTAGACGTGAGTGGTAACATATGCCCCCCCCCCCCCCACACACACACACTAGGACGAAGTTGGCTCGAGACCGCCTTTGGGGCGCGGCTGGCTTCAAAGTTCAAATATTTATAACACCATGTCTGATGTCCATGTCACCATGCCATTTGCATTTTGCGCTAACTGTAGGCAGTAGCAATATAAGGGTGCTTTGAATTGAACAGCATGTGTTTGATGTGTCGCATTTTTGACGCGAGTGTCGAGCAACGGAGAACGTTTCGGGTCAACTTCAGAGGTCTTCACATATACCTAAAATATTCCTATTCAACAGGTTTGTGGCATGGGTGTTTCCACCAAGATTCCTTTACAAGACTCCTTTACTTCCACAGTGTAACTATATGAATAACCGAAGGTTTGTTGTCAATAGTTAAAACACTATTCTTTAGAATTGTGTTTTTCTATTGAAAAACAAATCTGAGTTCCCTGACAATTTGGCAAAAGCTGCCTGAGATCAGTACAACTTGATGCTCTTGAAAACGGCTGCTCCAAAAATTCTGATTTTTTTCAGGATTTCTAGTGGGCCAGGTGATCTACGTTCTGGTATGGGTCTCCCCTCCGCGGACCATCTGGTGCACGTGCCACGTGACTTTGAAAATTCCCGTGTTAACCCGCGCCCTGCTGGGGGTCCTGGATTTCCACGCCCTGCTGGGGGGGGGGGGTGTTTGAACACCCCCCCTTGTAACTCGGCTCCTGGGCCACGTAGCGATACGCGGAAGGCGGCGTTCGAAAGAGCGTAAAAAATAATGACGAAATCACTTCGGTCAATTTTTTGGTCAGGTCAAAGGTCAGGTCACCAGAGGTCATTGAAGGCAAAATTTCGCCGATTTCCAGGTCGAATGTCGAAAACTTCCAAGAAGCCAACGCATAACTCGGGAACCAATAGAGCTACAGCGCCGCGGAAAAGCGCATTCGATAGCCCTATTAACGCCCTTTCTGAGTAATTCTCTCAGATTTGACCTAACGTCAACGGTTTTGCCTGCAGGGGGTAAAAATTGCAAAAATAGCCGATTTTTTCTAAAACAGTTTTTCTGCAATAACTTTTGACCCAAGCCTTGTACGAGCTTACTTTTACCGGCATCGTGTTCCTCTCGTCAAGACGCATCGAATGAACTATAACTTGACCTTGAAAGGTCAACTTAAAAATTTGACCTCAGGTCAAGGTCATGACCTGACCGGGAAGGGTCATGTTGCATATCAGTCGATCCGTATCGTCGAGCTGAACACATCTAAGGCGTTTTCATCGCTCTAGCATGCCTCTATCAAAAGTTATTTGCGAAAAACTGTTAGATACCATTCGTGACCTAAGATGACCTCAGGGCATAAACAAGGGTCACGGACACCATTTTCAAGTTCAGTGTGTCTAAACCACTTGTAATTCGGTGTTTGGGAGTGTTTATAATGTCTTTCCTCCAAAAGAGGCGCATTTCAATTTTCTCCCATTGACTTATAATGGGGAGGTCGCAAAATTGACCTGACCTTAGGTCATCGATATCAAAATTCTGAGATATACATTTTGTACATGCTATTGCTCTTAGCAATCGCTGAAAGTTTCAAAGCGATCGGGTGTTTCGGTGTAGCTATGACAGACATTGAAAGTTTTTATGAGGTGAGGTCACTTCAAGTGACCTGGTGACCTAACCTTGAATGACCTTGGTCTGAAATTTTCACAACATGTGTAGAATTGATGTATGATAAGGTGTACCAAAAACACCTTATCATACATCAATTCTACACATGTTGTTGAGATATTCACGAAAGACCACAAGGGGGGTGTTCAAACACCCCCCAGCAGGGCGCGGGTTAAGCCAATGGGCAAAATGAAAAAATGCGTTCCACGGCAGATTGCTCGAAAACGATCCAAACGACCCCCCATTTTCTTACATGCAGATCAACCACCATTCGGTGCACTACCCATGGGTATGTCGCAAAGTGACCGGAAAAGTCCAGAACCACGTGCCACGTGCCGTTGAAAAGGACCCTGCACACCGGAAATTGGGACTTTTGGTCATTTCGGCGCACCCATGATGCATACTATGGCGTGGGTGACCAAACAATGGGTGTCATCCGGTCGGCAACTGTTTAAGGTGTCGTCCAGTGGGCCAAAGTGGTAGTTTCAAACTTTTGGGATCCACCATTCTGGGGATTCTTTTTGACAATATACTTACGTTTCTTGGCGCAATGTTCATTCCACCCAGCCGGTCGTCAATGCGTTAGATGACCCAAATGACGATTGACCTGAAGGAAGTTGGGGGCGAGGAACACGCACGTGCCATCCGTTTTTTAATCGGGCGCTTTCATCTAGGAGATTTTTGCAGATACGTCAATGCGTTAGATGACCCAAATGACGATTGACCTGAAGGAAGTTGGGGGCGAGGAACACGCACGTGCCATCCGTTTTTTAATCGGGCGTTTTCATCTAGGAGATTTTTGCAGATATCTTTTTGATTTGTGAAAATGACCAGCCTAGCGGTATGCCAGCCGCTGATAAATTATTATCTTGCTGCGGCCGGGCGCTTATTTGCGGTGTTTGCGTTTGGCGGCTGGCGGGCGACTTTTAGTCGTTTTCGGTTAGCAGTTAGCATCGGTGCGGTGCGGGCGGTTTTATTTTTTTCGGCGTTTCGGCGTTTTTTTCTGTGTGGTTTGCGGCGGTCGGGTGATTTTTTTGCCGTTTGCGTTGGCTTTTCGGGCGTGCGTTTTACACGTTTTGCGGTGTTTACGTTTTGCGGCGGGCGGGCGTTTTGTGTTTTTTGCGGTGTTTGTCTTTGGCGGCGGGCGGGCGGGCGGGCGATGCGGGCGGTTTTCTTTTTTTTGCGTCGTTTGCGGTGTTAAATTTGTTTGCGGTTGGCGGCCGCTTTTTCGTTTTTTTGCGGTGCTTTTTTTGGCGGCGGGCGGGCGATTTTCAGGCGTTTTCGGTTGGCGGTTAGCGGGCGTGCGATGCGGGCGGTTTTATTGTTTTGCGGCGTTTTTGCGTTTTTTTATTTGCGGTTTGCGGCGGGCGTTTGTTTATTTTTTGCGACCTTTGCGTTGGCGTTTCGGGCGAGCGTTTTGCGGTGTTTGCGTTTTGCGGCGGGCGGGCGTTTTTCACAATTCAAAGTTCAAACCTTCGGGCCACAGCGCTCCTCGAAAAGCGCTGCCCTCGAGTATTATAGTCATTAGTCACCGTGATAATTATGTTTCAACCACTGTTTCCATAGGCGGCGGAACGGGGAGAGCACCGGGGCACCGTGCCCCCTTTACCGTGCCGCAAACTTGGCTATCTCAACTCAAAACTAATATGAAATAATATTTTCGGAGTTTCTTGAGTGATATATATTGAAAAATTGATAGCAAATATTTCGATACTCGTAGTGGTACCTTTTTCAATGCGAAAAAGGTAAAACTAATGTTAAACTAATGTTAAGGTGGGAGGGTCCCTTTAAATGGGCGTTGCATGGAAGGAATGGGACCAAAGGAAGGTGCTCCGCAGTCCGCCGGTACTGACTGTTTAAACCCTTGTTTGTTTCGGCAATGTTTCAGGCTTCGGTAACTCCTGTCTCATCTGTTGGTGTCAGCTGCTGCACCACTTCACGCTCCCCTAGCATAAAAGAGATAAAAATGAGCGTTTGATTTAGAATCATTTGCATTGCTAGACTTGTGCAAAACGAATGAAGGAATTTAGTGTAAATATTTCCTGATATGGAAGCAGATTAGATACCAAATCAATTCATTTTGCGACAAATATGGCGAGCTACAGACATCTATAAAGCTTGTTGTCGTGTTCGAAAAAGATGTATGTGAAAGCTGTGGACGCTAACGAAGGATTCAATCACGCGGAAGTGTTCGTTACGTCGCTGACCTTGAACACCTGACGAAATTAAATGGGCGTGAATTGAACAGTATGACCCCGAATGCTCCCGGATTTTCGGGAAGGATCCGTTGAGTCTTCAAGGAGCAACGCGTTGTCGTCTGCGTTGCTGATTTCTGGTTATTTTTCACTAGTGACTGGTAGTGGTAAGTAGTGTGCTTTCGTCAGTTTCGACTTGTTAGTTATGCTATATGGTGCACTTCGTAGTTTGTTGCTATCAATCAATAAAATTAGTCTATCATGATCATCAAGAATCAAGATAGACTAATTTTATGTGATGCAGGTCAAGGTTTTAGAAGTAAAATAAGCTGGAATGCATGAATCGGAATTGGAGATTAGGATTGGGCGGATTGGTGGAGCAGAACACTGTGTGGCTGTGTGGTCTTCTTTAACACATGCTGGATTGCTGACATTGTTCACCTGTCATCCGGTGGAAATTCCTGTGGAGTGTAGAGTTCACCAATGTGGCAGCAAAGGGCTCGCAAGTAATAATATGTGGCATGTGTTGTGGTAGGACACGCAGCTTGTTAATTGTAAGCCTGTCATTAGAATTTTGATAGTGCTCCTGAGTCTGGAAATTTGAATCACGTAAAATTATATGACAATCTTGGATCCTTACTGCAATACTGCCTGATTTGGGAATGCGGATATTGGGGGAATATGGATGAAACTGGAATTGAAGTTGAAGGAGCTGGATAGGGACCACCCCATTCAACAGACCTGAGCAGGTTGTGGCTGGTAGCTGCTCCTGTCTTTGAAGAACCTCAACTATCCCCATCAGAAATCTTGCTTTAAGAATGTCATACTCATGACTCCAAACTGGGCTCTTGCTGTGTTCAATCCAATAATGCAATGAACTGTCAGATGGCAAAACATTGTTTACTGTGTCTTTCCTGTTGGTAAGGTTTGCATGGTAGATATGATTAAACTGAAAGATTTTTGGTAAGGTGTAGAGGATCTTGATACTTGTTAAAATTGAAGTTACCTGCATATTTAATGGTCTTACACTTAACAGTCTATGTCTACAGTATATGTTTCTTTTCTCCTCCTTTCCCCCCTCACAAAACATGTCAGTCCTGCTTTACAGCTCATTTGTTTTTCACAGATTCAACTTGTTTAGAACAAAGATGGTGGACTATAGCAAATGGAAAGATATTGAGGTAAGATAGAAATCATGCATGTTCATATGTCACACTTCTACACTATTTATGTTATTAACAATTTCACATTAACAAGAGGCCACAGTAAAAGGACAATAAGAGTAATGTTGAAATGAGTAGTACTGTTTGCAGTGAGATTGTCAACATTCTCGGGTTATAACTAAGCCCTTCAAAACCATCCATTTGTTCAGCTTGTAGATATTGGCATTCAATTCATGGAAGAACCCTTCAGTTGGCATTTAGTGCAAAATTATATCATGCTTGTGCATTATATGTTTCACGATTAATTGTTCTATCATATCAACAATTGTGTACTGTGTAGCTTCTCAGTGTGCAGCCCATCAGACAAAATATTCATGCATCCCTTCTGTGTGAATAGCATCCGTAAAAGCAGGGGAATGCTGCACTGATTGCCCAATCTGACTGGAATCCTACACCCCTGTCCAGGTGTCGGACGACGAGGATGACACCCACCCCAACATCGACACGCCCTCGCTGTTCAAATGGCGCCACGAGGCCCGCGTTCAGCGCACCAAGGAACACGAGGAGGAAAAGCAGAAACTCGCCTCGCAAAAGAACCAGTAAGTTTTGTGAAAATACTCAATTCAAACTGCCCTTGAAGAACTTACAATTTACATACTAGTTTAAAAACAAAATTAGAATGTGGGTATATACTTAATCAGTAATGGCGGTGCTCCTAAGTCGTTGAGAAATGAAGAAAGTCAGGCATGTCACATGTTTTGGTAAATGCACAGAATTGCCACGACTGAATGGAATGCATAACCAGCCTTTTCTCTCAGTGACAGTATTTTATTGGGATAGTGATTTCTTGCGTATGGGTCATGGGTGTCAGGTTAATTGATTAACTGGTTTCAGGTATGTAAAGCAATTGGAAGATGCAAGGGCAAAGGTACAGAAGGCCGAAAAAGAAGGATCCCCTAACCTGGATAGCCTGAAGAAATCACTCGCAGAAATTGAGAGCAAGACTGAGAACATCAAGAAGGAATGGGCGGAATTCGAGAAAAAGGAGAAGGTAAGTGATATATGTATTGCACTGCGTGCAATTGATTCTCCGCGATGAGCCATCACATTCGAAGCTTCCTGTTCTAGGCAGCACCCATGTAAGGGGCAGCACCCATGTAAGGGAGCAATACCGTGACTGAACGGTGACTCTACAGGCTCGTTCGATTGTCCTCGTGCGGCCTCCACATCGCCCATCCTCCCTCACAAAGTTCCGATTTTCCAGCTGATGCCGTGGAATGTGGACACGATCTCCAGCGATGGCTTCTCCAAGACGGTCATCAACGCGAAGCCGAAGCGGAAGGACGAGGACATGACTGAAGAGGAGAGGGAGGAGCGCATGCGCAACTTCATCAAGAAGTACGAGAAGGACATCAAGAAGTACGGCATGCTGCGGAAGTACGACGATAGCAAGCGCTTCCTGCAGGACAACATGCACCTGGCCTGTGAGGACACTGCCAACTATCTGGTCATTTGGGCCATCAACCTAGAAATGGAGGAGGTAAGTGCCTACGTTGTTGGACAAATTATCTTCATGCTTTTAGAATTAATTTGTTTACTTGTCTGTAATTGAGATTTACTTGCCTAGCACTGATGAATTCTTGAACTCATGAAAGTATGTCTTTAGAAAATTGGAGGCGTGATTGGTTCTGAATCGCGATGGTTTAACATGCTAAGCTTGAACTCGGAAAAAATCCAGTTAACTAACGAGAATTTATCATACATTGGCCTAACCAGTGTCGCTGCTTGATTTCGGCATCTAAGAATCTCGGCTTCGAGTCATTTTCCACGAGCACCGCATCTAATCTCATACAAATGTTTTTGTTTTACAGAAACACAGTCTGATGGAGCACGTGGCCCACCAGTGTATCTGCATGAACTACATCCTGGAGTTGGGCAAACAGATGGATGTCGATCCCAAGGCCTGCGTGTCGTCCTTCTTCACAAAGTGAGTCGGTGACGAGCCACGGGTATATTATGTTGGAACCGCTGGCTGATAGTCATAAAGTGGTTAGTACATGTGAACTGATCGTGTTCGAAATATTCATTTTCCTTCCCTAATGGAATTTCATAGGCACAATTTCAGTATTTAAGATCGATTGAAAAACTTCAGCGCCAATTTTTGTATCGCATACGACTGACGCTATCCACATACCGTTATAAGGCCTTTGCCGTTAGCTCTACTTGAATGCAAGGGACTTATTTGAACTCAATTCCATAGTAATCTTACCACACCCGATGGCCGTTTTTGCCCGCAGGATCCAGGTTGCCGACCAGGACTACAAGAAGGCGTTCGATACCGAGGTGGAGGCGTTCAAGTCGCGTATCCGCACGCGCGCCAAGCAGAAGGTGGACGAGGCGATGAAGGAATACGAGGAGGAGGAGCGTCAGAAGCGGCTCGGTCCCGGCGGGCTGGACCCCGCTGAGGTGTTCGAGTCCCTCCCAGAGGTAAGGGGATGGCGCGGTGGGTGAATTGGCACTGGCGGAGGAGAGTTGCTTACAGCTACCTAATGTGTTCTGACCCACAATAACATTCTTACAGCTTCATGACTTTTTTTAGGGAATCCTTTGTTTGAACGAACAGCTGAGACTAAGTTCAATATTTTTATTGATATTCCGCGCGATGAAGCTATTGATAGCTGATATGGTATTATATGTCAATTCCACCGTGTATTTCACAGTAGACATCCATCTCTTTTAAATTACCGTTGATATTAAAGGGACCCTCCCACCTTAACATTAGATTTGAGTTGAGATAGCCAAAATGGGGTCCCTGGCTCACAATTACCGGTTTCGGCACTCACAACATCGAGAAATGCCTTAAATCGGAAATATTGAATTTCAAAATTGCAGCATTTTGATTCAGAGGGGCTAATGCATAGGAATACCCCTCTGAATGTGTGACGTCATCGCAGATATCTAACGATTTTTAAATGTTTGACTAAAACGTTTTGTAGCACGCGGTGGTATATGCTGCTTTGCGCGCAATAAATGCCGCACTTTTAAATAAAGTCGCTAGAAACAGCGGAGATCCCAAAAAGTAAACAAAAGTAAAAGTCTAATATCTTGAAAACCGGTGAATATTTTTCGATGAAATTTGGTAGATATTGGTTTTCGCTCTTTCTGAGCCGAGCGACATCACTTTCATGCCAATTCATTAACTTTTTTGAAGGTGGGAGGGCCCCTTTAAGTACGATATTGTTTCCTGCTTAGAGTCGAACTTTGGGATAATGGAAATTGTGCCATCCATTTCTATTGGAACTATCAGTAACGATTTTATTCGTGAGTTCCCACGCTCCCATTGCACTCTGCACTTTGTATCCGTTGAGCTGAAATGGTACAGCCCAACCCCCCCCCCCCCTTCTCACCACAAGTCTGATTGTCACGTAGTGGTGTATCAATGAACAACGGTTTGACCACAGCATCAATGACACTATTCCTCCTCCTCGGACAGGCGCTGCAGAAGTGCTTCGAGACCCAGGACACCGAACTCCTCCAGAAGACCATCTCTGAGATGGACGAGGATGAGGCGCGGTACCACATGAAGCGCTGCGTCGACTCCGGCCTCTGGGTGGCAGACGCCAAGGCGGCAGAGGCCGAGAAGGCTGCCAAGGAGGCGGCAGAGGCAGCAGCAAAGGGTGCTGCGGCAGCAGAGCCCGTCTACGATGAGGTGAAAGGTGCCGCGAAGTCAGACAAGTGAGTGATGGCAGTGTGTGAGCGAGGACTGGCGGCGGTGTGCCAACTACAAGTTAATGCTCCGGTCGCGAGATGGCAGTGCGATCGTGCGCCGGCGGCATCCCATCGACCGGCTGAGCTGTGTTTACGTCGCACGCACGCGGCTTCCGCGTGTGGCCGAACTTATCGGGACGTCCAGCCCGAGCACGGGGCGGGGCGCTGTCACCGAGGTCTGTCGCAGAGAGGCGGCTGGAGGACCGGAGCAGCTGAGCGCCCCGCGGACCAGGGGCGAACCAGTGATGACCACGGCCGTCTCGAGTCAGCGGTGGGGAGGGACGGGAGGGAGGGGTGGTCTCGACGGATAACTCGTATGACGTGCTTACGTCGGGCGCTGAGAGACGAAGTGGTGTGCTTTTGTGGCAATCGATGTGGGCCAGGAGAAATACAGCCCCGAGTGCCGACGGACGGCTTCGTTTCAGCTGATCTAAGGGCCAAAAAGTGCCGGCCGTATACACGGTCCGGTGTTGCAGTCTGTGTAATGATTGCTCCCGCTGTGTGTACGCACGAGTGACAGTGAAGCGTAATACACAATCAAAAACAGCGTACTATTATGGCCTTCAAGAAGCTAATTGCCTACCGCTGATTGCTTTCGTGCGTTCTTTCTGACTGCGGCTGGCATAATAGTTCCGGCCCGCCTATGTTGATGACCGTACGATATCGCGTGTCTTTAGAAGTCACGCATCACTGGCTGCAAATGAACAGTAGTGTGTGTCAGTTCCTGGACGGAACAATAACGTGCATATCGTGGATTCCTTTCCTATATGGACGCTATGAGCCGGACCCAATATCGCAGTGGCGCGCGTTATTCGCGTGAGGAGCCTCGCCTCCAGGCCGGATGCCCGTTCACCCGCCCCGCCTTCTTTATTGCACAGTATAGGCGTGATTTTCTTATTGCTATGTCCACCGTGCTGGTTTGCTGAAGACGGACAACTCTGTGCCCTAGGCCCCTTTACTATTCGCTGTTCGACTTGATAAGCAATGCTCCCGCTCTTTACAATTCGCTGTTCGACTTGATTTGCAATGCTCCGTATTATATGAAAGTTTGTCATGCATTTTGCTTTGCTTTGGGAAATCGAACAATAAATCACCGTTAAAACAATGGCTAATTTCGATCCGCATTCATTGCACGCATCACTTTTCATTTGATGGAAGTATGTGCGCTGACGGCAGGTAATTACATTCGACATTGGTGGATCCAGAAAGGTGGATGAGTGAATGCAACGGGGGCCTGCTCACCAGAAAGATGTTCCAATATAACAAAACTCGGATTTGACCTTTTTAATAATGGATGTGCTTTCAAGCGGCTTTCCCTTTAAAAAGTCAGTTAGTGTTCTTTCCATGGGAGGAAAGTAATATTACATCATTGTTTGACGCACTGGGAGGGGCAAATGTCCCAAATGCCCTTCCTCAGAATCAGCGGTGTATTACGTATATCGCAGGGGTGGTAAAGACTAGTAGGGCGCCACTCAATTCGCCACTCCTTCATTCAACTAAGAAACTAACGACTTACTTAATGAAATGACATTTGCAACCTTCTCTTCAAATTTTTACAGAATTATGCACGATTCATAACGGAATTTCTAGCTGTTCTGAAAGCGCCGTGCGATTATTTTCCTTGTGCATTGTAGAAAAGAGCGCCCACTCCTGTACTCAGACACGCATTCGTGCAGAATTCGTAAGTTCACACTGCTCCAGTTCAACCACAATTCATGTTCAGTCCGCGTGGAACTTCTGTGGAAAATTTATTGGATTCGCCCGAGACTCTTGGCGCGGCGGCATTGCTTATGCAACAGTTTCGTGGCCAGTACGGCTTAGCGTGGCTCTCTTGAGGCAGTTGTGTGGTCAATGCCGAGCGGCTCAGCCCCTTATCGGCCGACCCGGTGGCACAAAGGGCCGCGCCGCATCGACCCGCTACTGATCCACTGCAGTGCACGCTTCCCTCCCCATGCTCAGCTCGTCTAAGTGTGTTCTCTACCTCGCTCTTTTTCACCAACTCCGCGAGGTCGACTCGGCGTTAACAGCCGCACGCCCCGACTATCGGCTGGCCGGGCACTGGTCCCGAGAGTCCGAGACCTCGCCTACACAGCCAGTGTCATCCATCGCCCTGCGGACATGGGGCTGGTCTGTGGACCGAGCGACGTGTCCTCTCGGGACAGGGTGCTAATTGGAGCTCTCAGCCCGCTACATGGGCTATTACATGGACGCCGGCCGGGTCATTCATAGGCGCGCCCTGGGAGTTGACCCCGGCTCCCCAGCAGAGAAGCCAGACGTCTGCATGACGCACACATATCCCACACAGCCTTACGGCCGCAGAGAGCCGCTGGCGCTATTTGAGAAATTATATTACCGTCTGATGCGGACTGTGTGTGCCACTGTCGGCGTTTGCGGGCCTTCGCCGTTGCTTAGGTATGGAGTCGCACTTTCTGGCGACTATTTGGCGACTCCTACCATGGATTACGAGTAGTTCGCCACTGAGGAGGGCATCTGAAAAAACGTCGACGAAATTTTAAGCATCTTGCCTAAGAAGCTTCCTCCTGAGGCTTCCTAAACAAAAGTCCTCCCTAGACCTTACGTCGTGTTTTTGCTTTGTTTCCGCATTCTTGCGCTTGCCGGCGGAAACGCGGAGTGGGTAGCTGCGTCCTCCACTCCTGCGGAGTACTCCCTCCCTCCGCCCCCTCCCCCCAGGGAGGGAGGCGCTCCGCCACCCCCCCCCCCTAGTCGATCTGTGCGGCAGGCACCATCGGCGAACACAGGAACCAATCGACCAGCCGCCCGATTGTCCGTTAATTGCTGCCGGTGTGACGTCACGATCAGGTGACGTCACCGCGGGTCGAAGCGATAAGTAAACAGGCGGTGGCGGAGTTCCGCACGCACCTCCGCAGCTGCAATCTGCCGGCGATAAATTGAGTCATTCTGTTCGATGATGAGCTACATGACAAACTTCTTGAGACGGGCATAACGTCATTGAGAATAATGTTGTTACGCTCGTCGTCTTGGCGCGGGTAATTGACAACTATTGATTAGTCTCGAACTTCCTGGTGGTGCCTATTAGAGGTGGCAAAATGTGGACCCGAGGACCCGGTCCAAAGAACCAGTCTGGACCCATATGGGTCCAGACCGGTTCCTGGAAATTTTATGACGGGTCCAACCGGGTCCTGCCATAAACTATACATCTTCCACACTACACATTATTGCAAAATATGAAGTGAATGAAGTGAATGTTTCTTTGCACACCGTAGCTCATAAGTATTCCCAGTGGGAAATAGGCTGTTTTACATGATGCAACTAATGACACCTACAAGTAGTTTGTATTAATTGACTTTTGGGGAACGGGTCCAAATGGTTCCGATTTCAACTAAGGCCGGGTCCGACTGGTTCCAGAAATGTCCAGCCGGGTCTGGTTCGAGTCTGGTTCCCAAAATTTTCATCTTTTGCCACCTCTAGTGCCTATCCCACCACATACCAACACTTATTCCACATTGACCGCGAAAACCCCTTGGCTGTCATGGTCCATGATCATGCCATAATGCGGTGCGCTACGAAAATAAATGCCCACCGATCAAAGCGTCCGGGAACTGGTGAGCTGACTGGGTGCGGTCGGCGCGGAGTGACGGCGATGACTGTTTATTAGTCTGCCGGGGAGTCTGGAAGCTGTCAGTGGCGATTGCCCTAGACAATGGCCGCAGTACTGAGACAATGGCCGCGGTATGCGCGCATGGGTACACCCGACCACTGAACCGTGCCAGATCAATGGTGACCGCGCCCACGAGGCCAGGAGCAGAGACGGGCTCTGGGATGGAGGCTATGCCATACCTACCGAGCCTACCGAATATGCGCCACAGCATCTGCGGTCTCGTTACGCAAAATTCACTGCTATTTTTCCGAGTGAATGGCGTAAATTTCTTAATTCAGCTGCAATTTCATATGCAGCAGGTAAATTTTCATAGTTTTTAATGCGCCTCACGTTCAGGACGCTGCCCTTGCCTACAAGCTCAAACTTCGCAACTCTTCCATGCTTTCCAAGTCTAATATGCTGACGCAATGTATCATCAACTGGCCCAGTATTCCAGTGTTATATTAACGCACTTTATCTACGGAACGTCATGAAGCCTCGCAGTGCGCTCAATATAACGCGCGTCTACGGCTGACAGGGTGAGGCGGACTACGATGAGATATTACGACACCGTCCATGCACTCCTATAGAAGCTGGACCCCGCTGAGTACCTAGCGTGCGTCACCGTAGCGGCGTTGCACTGGTGTGCGTCAACGTACAATATGTTTTTTTGGTTAATGGTTAATGACTAGGTCGTATCGATGGACACAGAGCCTTGCACCTCGCGCGGCTTTTTAATTTTCTTCCTTTCATTTCACCTCCCTCGCTCTTTCTTTCGTTTCTTTCATACTCTCTCTCTCTCTCTCTCTCTCTCTCTCTCTCTCTCTCTCTCTCTCTCTCTCTCTCTCTCTCTCTCTCTCTCTCTCTCTTCTCTCTCTCTAGTCTCTCTCTCTCTTTCTCCCGGGACTACCCTTCGAATACCCTCCCTTTTCTCTTATCCTAGCATGCCGTCCTGTTGTCCCCATCGCACCCTCACTCCCACTGTCCCCCGCTCCTCCGTCCCCACCAACCTATCTGCCCGAGGCTGTCGGCCCATCGACTGATCGACAGGCACCACACACTAGCCGCTAGCCATCGCCAAGGGCCGCCGGTCCCACTCAAGGAGACCTCCTTTGAGGGCGCGTGCCGGTCGGCCGTCCCGGCACGGGGCACATCACAGAGGAGTGATGATCGGACTACACCTGCGGCCACGGCCGGGCCGCGGGTTGGCCCGCAGCTATCAATAATTCAGAGCCATTGACGACACGTTCCCACAGCCGATGGATGACAGTGAGCTCTCAGTGGTGAACAGAAAAAGGTGAATCGTAGTGCTGTGTGTTTGAAGTGAGCGGGAACATTGCGCACTCTGACAATTTCTTTAGAAGCACGATAGGTCTTGACAATTTCTTTAGAAGCACGATAGGTCTTTTGGGGCAGTGTTCGCTCTTTGCTCCCATATCACTTTACATAAGCTTTCAAACGGTATTACCTTTCCAGATGCTATTTGGCGGTAAAACGTGTTTTGATGCGAGCCTTCTAATTTAAAAAATGTCAATAAAATCTGAACACACGGTTACATACGGCAAACAATGAATCAAATTAATTCCCATCCTCGAAATCGCCAAACACTGGAAACCTTGCTTACCATTTGATGCAAAACAAGATTGAAGGAAACATAACCTTAGAGAAAGAGCACCTAGGCTATAATCCAGCTACGACTAAATACGCAGATTGTTAAAGTGACCATCCCACCTTAACATAAGTTTTGAGTTGAGATAGCCAAATTGGAGCCCCTGGCTTGCACTTACCGGCTTGGGCACTCACAACATCGGGGTATGCTTTAATTCGGGGATATTTGAATTCAAAGTTGCAGTTTTTGGATTCTAAGGGGCTAATGCATTTGAATGCCCCCTTTGAACTTTTGACGTTAACGGAGATCTAACGATTTTTCAATCTCATGCTAAAACCATTGTCAAAACGTGGTGGTATATGCTGCTTTGCGCGCAATATCTATCGCACTTTTAGGATGACAAATTATTGCTTCCAAATGACGTCGTAGGAACAGCGGAGGTCCCAAAAAGTAAACAAAAGTAAAAGTCTTATCTATCTATAAGACTTGAAATATCTTGAAAGCCAATGAATGTTTTTCGGTGAAATTTGGTAGACAGATACCTACTCATTTTTTATCTTTCTGAACCACGGGACATTGCTTTAATGCCAATTCATGAACTTTTTTGAAGGTGGGAGCCGGGAGGGTCCCTTTAACTGTTGTTACAACAGCTGTCATAAGTGTACGCATGTAAATGATGTAAACAATAGGTAGGTATACGGTGCACCCTTCACACTTGGTAAATAATTGTGTGCATCGTACAAATACACGGAGGCAATCGATGCATTATGCATACCATTCTATTTTCGGTATTGCTCGCCACTCATAACCGACAATGCTAGAAGCAGGTAAGCTCGTAAGCTGGCCTATTCCTTTCACCTACCCACTCATAATGTTA